GGGGGGGGGGGGGGGGGCGGATGGGACGAAGGTTGTCCCTGAAAAACGAAGCGAGAAATACAACCAAAAACACACACACAGAGGCAACTAGCTGTAGCTGCCAAGAGGACAACCACAGACAAAAGGACGGCCACAAAAACACACACCACACGAGTAGAACAAAAAGGGCGGCGGCACAACCTTCAACCACGTCGGGCAGAGCATGGTACAGACAGCGCCCGCCTCATCCAAGAACTTCTTTCATGCTCAGCATTTGATCTAAAAACAAGAACTTGAGCACAGTTCCTGAGCCCGCCTAAAATAAGAACCCCTACTACACTTGTGGTAGGCCACAAGAGGAACCAAGCCTCGACCAAAAAAAGAGGTTCGTAAGCACGGTCGCTTTTTCTTTTGTTTGTTGTATCTGTAGAGCTCTCAAACCACTCGACCCACCCCACGCACCTCTCGTGCGACGAGACAGGGCATCCTCCCGGAGCCCCCCTCGGGACAGTACGCCTCGAAAACGCACGCCCAGTCCTCCTCGAACTCCTCCCCCGCCCACCAGTCTTCCCCTGCCTCTTCGTCGCCATCGCCCGCCGCCGCTGCCGCCGCCGCCGCAGCCCAGCCGTCGTTCACGTTGACACCGCCCGTGCCGCCCCACAACCATCTCCGCGCGGTGTCTGCAATGTTGCTGCTGCTGCTGCTGCTGCTGCTGTCCGTCGCCACCACAGTTGGTGCTCCTGCTCCTAGGCCGGCGGCGGTGGCGGGGGCCCCGGCGGTGTCATTATTGGCACCCCCCCCGGATTCGGCGCAGCTCATCGGGACCCCGAACACGACGTTGTTGGCGTGCGCCGGGGTGGCGGTCACCGCTGTCAACCGGCGTGCCGTCCGGATGGAACTGTTCCAGTCGGCAAGGGGGGGCGGTCGGGGGGGGTTGAGAAAAACTGGATCTCGGGGCACCATGGTTGTCTCGTGTCATGCAAACTGATACACATATCCTGTGCAGCAGCTTGGCGATACGCCTTGCGAGTCGTTGATCGAAAGCAAGCAAGGCTTTTGTGCAAGACAGGCACTATCACTACTATACTAGTAGCCCCACCGTCACTTGTGGCCACTATTAATAGAACCATCAGCACTTCCACAATGACCATCTTCATGCCCCTATCCTTATCCTCCATGCTATCCGACACTACTACTACCACCCCCACAAAAGGGCATCATGTTACGCCCGCACGACAACCTCACCAAGAATTAAGGTGAGCAAACGCTCAACACCTCCTTCACGGAAGACGCCGCCCCCTTCAATGTACACCACAAACTTTATAGCAGAACATCTTAAAAACGACACAGACTGCACGTTTTTTCCCGTCTGTCCAGGGGTTCTCCTGAATGCGTGGATCGACAAATTCACGGGGAGGAAAATATATTCCGCAAATGACGTCACGGTCGAGCGGTATCACGACACAGCGGCCGCTGGCTGCGAGACACCGTCCGTGCCCTATACCACCCCTCAAGACAGGGATACGAGCAAGCGCGAGACAGCTAAGCTGAGCTAACCTTGACGTGCACGGAATCGCGACGGGGTTCGACACGGGCCGCGCCGAGGGGAGCAGCAGGGCCTCGCCAGCGCTGGCACCGTCGTCCTCCCCGCGACCCCCCGCCTGCCCGAGGGCAGCAGCAGCAGCAGCAGCAGCAGCAGCAGCAGCAGCAGCGCACGTCGCCGTGCTGATCGCTCTCCCGGTGGCGAGCATCGCCTGCTTGGGGACAACCAGTCGAAGGGGTTTTCATGCCGTACGGGGCGGGGGAGAAGGGGGGGGGGGGGGGGGCTCCTGTATACCAAAGCCCCGGGGGTGCCCCCTCCCCCCACTCCTATCCCCGGGGGGGGAAACTGGGGTTTAGGTTTCTTTTAAAAAATCCAAACCTTCCCCCCCTCCCGGTGCCCGTTGTTGTCGAAAAGCCTGTTCCCCTCCCCCCCCGGACAAAAAAAATTTTGAAAAAAAAAGAAAAATCCCCTTTTTCCTGAAACATAAAGCTGGGTACAGCCTTTTTCTGGACCCCCCCTTTTTGTGGGGGCCGAAACCCAAAGGCGGAAAAGCTCCCGCCCCCCCTTTCACAAAACCCGGGTGGAAGGGAGCTGAACAAAAAAAAATCCCGAAGACCCCCCTGGTTGGACAACCCTTTCCACTCACGCACACACATAAAGAATAAATGACGCCCCCTCTGCTGGTCTTAAAAAAAAAAATTTGCTTTTCACCCCACTGAAAATGACGTTTTCTTCCTCCGTCACGCGGGTAGCGCGGGCCGCGGGAAACCCCCCCCAAACCCA